TTCGTAGTTATTTGCCTTGTTTCACAAATTTGAGCAGATGCACCTCTTCCCCTTAAGACTATCGTAAGGGCAAGAGAGAGAGAGCTTGGGTCATGTATGCAGATGGAAGCGAAATCACTGTGAGGGAACTCTTTAAAATTGCACAGCGAAAAATTAGAATAAAGCTAGATGGCAACAAAAACTCACTCTATGCGGCAATTCTTTTGGCCGAAACGACCCTCCACAAAGTCGTACTGTGGCGGATCGAAGCCCTCCCTGTCGAAGTAATTCTTCAGAGCCCGTTTCGGATCCTCCGCATAGGAGGACTCGTGACTCAAACAGCTGCCGCCCTCCAGGCCGAGGCCCAACATCGAGACACCCATTTCTCCGTCGTCCTGAGATTCATCAACTGTTACACAACAAGGGAGAAAGGAAGGAAGAGTACAAGTCAGAAATGAAGGTAAGAGTCCGACAGGGAAAATATGCTGATTTATGCGTACACGGACGAGGGACAGTTTGAGAGTCGTATCTGATGGGGTTCATCGTGTGCACTACACTGCAAGGAGGAACAAGAAGTGTGACTTCCGCCTAGAGTAGGATCAAACTGCATCCAATAGATGACCGTTCACTGATCGGTAACGGAACTCAAACGTCCTGCTCTGCCTTGGGTCTCATGTTCTAGTCCCGCCAGTAGACGCACAGCGGTAAGTAGTCTAAGCAAAGATTGGAGTGTCCATTTCTGGCTTATTAGCCGTCCTCAGCCAGTCATACGCAGCCCCAAGTGGTACACCACTCGGGGCTCGAACTCGCGACCTATCTGCCTATATCATTAGCTGCTACAGTTGCTGCGAAGGCCCCATGAATTCGACCCCAGGCGAAGACAGAGCGGGACAAGTGAGTTCAGCTAGCGGTCGGTAAACGATCACCATTGAATGTTAATATCTTCCGACCTAAACCAGCAAGACAACGAGCCCTTGGCTCAATGGTTGAGGGCGTTAGACTCTGGTCGAAGTGGTAGCAAAGGAACAACAGGCGCCATATGACCTTGCTTTAACAGACCAACCCACTTTAATTACCATAGGAGATGCGGCGGGGATGTTGAGGTTCGGCTGCTTGACGAGGACCAATAAGGCCGAAGCCGCCGGAGAAGTCTTTCTAGCATACCCTACCCACCCTGCATGTCATAAATGGTACGGCAATTTCTTACCGTCGATATTTTTATAGCAAATATAGTGCAAGGAAAAGCAGTAACACAAGCACTCCTCTCTTGGAGATGTCCCTGCGCTCTTTTTTGATGGGAGCAGATTTAGGGTAAAAAGGGTGGGGCGGGGGGAGGAGAGGTGTTGTTGGACGGACTTACCATCTATACCCCACGTGCATTCATCATCACGCTTGTCAGAGGATTGCTCTTCACCTTTGCCGCTGCCATCATGACTTCGCGCGGCTTGCCGTTGGCTGTCCTCCTGGTCCAGTTGGGCCAGTTTGCTTTCTCTCAACAGCTGCTCCGCCTTGCGTTTCTGGTGAGCCGACACGAGTTCACTCCAGGACTCCTTGGTTTGTTGCTCAACGTCCGTTTCGGGCCCCTGCAGGACGAGGAG